CCCTGAGCTAAAGGCAGATGCTCAACTGCTGAGCCCCCCAGGCACCCTGGGGAGGTATTCTAGAAGGTAGCTTGGGCAGCCCTGGTCAGTGAGTTGCCACTGCCCTGTCTGCTCATGCTTTTTTAATTATAAAATACAAATGTACAGGAAGTTATAGGAAATAAAATAGCCTTGTATTTACTATGCAGCTTTAGCAACCCTTAACAAATTATTTAAGCAACTACTTCAAAACGATCAATAAAAATGCATCATGTATATGGTTGGTGCCACTTGTGTATCACTTCCTGGTCTCATTTGATTCCCTCCCGAGCAGTTGTCTAAATTGGTATGTATCACTGCCAAGCACATTCCTCTACCACTGCTGCAGAATGAATCTATAAATAACATATTGTATTGTTTTTCATATTTATAAGTCTTATGGGAATCATACTTTATGTAGTCTCCTACTGCTTTCGCATTCAACTTTATACTTTTGAGACATATGCATATGGATTCATGTAGCTCTTTTTCATTTGTTTTAGCTTCTATATAATGTTCGGTTGTGTGACCTAGGAGTTAATTTCCTCATTCCTTTGTCAATAGACTTTTGAGTTTATCTCCAACTTTGGACTTTTACCACAGTGGTGCAGTGAATGTTCTTGCACATTTCTGTGAGTGTGCATGTCGGAGTTTCCCAGCAGAGCTTCTGCAAGTCCCCAAAGATACTGGTCCTCCCAGTCCTTGGGGTAGCCACTCGGCACTGGAGTGGGTAAAGCCCCCAGGCCAGTTTCCTCCAGTCATGAACAGTTTCATCCTTTTACTCATTTTGCAGAAGAAAAACAGGAAAAAAATCCTGTTTTTATGTGGAATTGCTGGATTGGGGAGATACACATCTTCAAATTTAACAGATATTGCTGAGGTGTTGTGCAGAGTAGTTGTGCCAGTTTATACTCCTGTGGCCAATGCAGAGTTCTTTTTACCAAAGTGATTTGCTGCACTAATGTTTAATAATTTGGGCTTTTGTGTGAGACTGTAGTAGGAGTTGGAACTTGTCTCCGCCCATGAGCTGTATGATCTCTGTGTGATCTCTGGCAGGCTAGCTGCACTTCACGTATACCTTAGTGTCCCTTTATGTCAAAAAGGTATAATAATAGTCCATAGCGTATTATAGAGGTATTTTAAGGATTAAATCAGTTCATGTGAATCACCTTGAACACTGCATGTCCCCATCACAGGCCATTTCAAAAAACAATGTTCGCTATTATGATTGCTCAAAATTTGACTTTTGCTAGTCAAATGGGTATGAAATGGAGTTTAATGTGGCTTAATTTGCATTCCTGTATTATTAGTGAGGTTGAGCATCTTTTCGTGTTTATTAACACTTCTGATTTCCTTTTCTATTCTATTGGGTTGTTTCTTTTTCTTACAAACTGTAGGAGTTCTCTGTATATTCTCTTTAAATATTCTAAATACTAATTCTTTGTCACTTATATACAATGCAGAGGTTTTTTTTCCCCCAAGCCTGGGGCATGATTTTTAACTTTATGGTGTTTGTTGAACCACAGAAATCTTTAAAATAGTTTATAAGCTAAGATTGTATGCATTTTACTTACGAAATCATTCCCTACATCAAGGTCATTAGACATTCTCTTATAAAACTTCTCAGGTATTGCTTTTTGTACTTGAGTCTTACCTAGAATATATTTTTGGGTATGAAGTATGGATGCTGTTTTATTTCTTTCTGTATGAATAAGCACTTGTCTCCTGAGTAGGGTTCAGCACACCTTTTTCTGTAAAGTGCCAGAGAGTAAATATCCTGGGTTTTGTGGATCATATGGTCTCTGTCACAACTACATAGTTCTGTCATTGTGGCACCACACAGGTCACTTACCCTCTCTGACTTGATTGCTCCCAATGAACATTGGCGATTATGAGTGCCTCTTTCATGAGAATGTTGTGAGGATTAAATTATAGACTAAATAGACAGGAAGTAAATAAATGGGTAGAGTGGAATTCCAATAAAATTTTATTTATAAAAACAGGCAGCAGGTTGAATTCGGCCCATGGGCTGTAGTTTGCCAATGCCTGCTCTAGACAAATCTAATCCATTCAATGTAGATATTAAACAAGCAATTAGTAAATTGTATATATATCATATATGTACGATAGATATATATTACATAAATTTATATAAATGCATATTAACTATGTCCTATGTAAATATATAACAATACACATATATTAAAGATTTATTTCTATTTCTTGCCAATCCCATAGAAATTAGCTACCTTATTCTCTTCAAAACTATCATTTCCTCCTGCACACATTACTCACTCACCAGCACATTTCTTTATTGAACCTCCATACGTTCCAGTAATATAGAGTTTACTGCATAATTTGTTCTATTTATAGGCAACCCCAAATTTTTTTTGAAAATAGTTGTCTTTTGGTAAGTTTTCTCCTGTAGCCTACAACTACCCTCTGAAGCTGTGTATTACAAACTCATGTCACCTGATGCCATGATCTTAAGTTTCCATCTCCTGTCCTCCCTGCCAGTGACAAACAGCTCTTGTTCTCACTGGATACTCTTTGTGTCCCACTGATTCTCATGGATTCAGTCAGATAGCAGGTGTCTGCTTTGTGAGCTGGTCATTTTGCTAGACACAGAAGATACAGGGGTGGACGAGTTCCTGTGGAAATAAGGCATCCAGAACAGAAGACGTGGCCTGGCCCATTCAGGGCCCAGTGCATGACTCCCTTTCTTGTTCTGAACCTTATGTTTTTATTGATGTAACCTGAGTTCATGCAGCTTTCTTACCTTTCTCTTCATGCCCCCAGACTGAGGTTCTTATTAATTATCTCAAAGCCAGTATGGCAGATACTAGGCCCTTTTGGGTTTTCTTCAACCCAAAGAAGTAAGAAGTTTGCCCAGAGTCATAGAGCTGATAAATGGAAATCAAATCGATACTCTGTCATTTCCAAGTCTAGATTATTTCTAATACTCAGTGCTTCCTCCATACATTGTCCTGATGGAACTTTCTGTGATTCCAAAACAATCTTTGCCAGGGAAATACTGTTGTGCCCAAAATTGTGTATCTGAGAAACCACTAAAGAGCCGACACCGATTCAAGTACATGAGGGTTTATTAACAAGCTTGAGCTTGGGTCCAAGTATATCTGACACAGCGGAGGAGGGACTTGGACCCCGAGGTTAAGAGGCGTAGCAGTTTTATAGGGGCCAGTGGCCAATGAGATTGTAACACACACAGAAAGTTGCATAGTCATGTTGGTCCACACGTAGGTTGGCCAGTTGAATTACAGTTTACCCTATAGTGACCGTTTGAACTAGCCTATCACTGGTCAGAATTGGCGCACAGGTGCGGTGGGCAAAAGGCGGGGTTTACATTCTTTGGCGGTTAGGGGTTCCGCATTCCTATATGAGCCTCATTCCTATATGAGCTGGTTTCTGGTAAGGGTATGCTCAGCAGCTTGACTAGGGTTGGGGAGCACCTTAAGCAATAAGCAGGTCTTGTGGGGGTTCTACATGAGATGGCAGGTGTAGCACAAAATGGAGTTTTTCCTGCTCTGCTTGTCCAGGGGTAGGGAATTTTTGTTAAATTTCTTGGGTCCTACGATACAAAAGAAGAAACAACCTCTTGCAAAAGAAAATGGGGCTTAAAACACAGTCTCTCTCTGACAGATGTCCAGAGACATCTAAAGTTGACTCCTTTGGAATGGGTACATGTGTGTCTCTCTGTTTTGACAAGCCAATCTCCTCCCTAGTAAAGGTGTCAGAGCTAAACCACAGCACACAGTTTAGGACTCAAGGGAGATACCTCACCTCCATAGCCAACATGTCAGAACAGCAGAAGGTAACAGACCATTGGCATATACTCCTCCTGCACTTATCAAGTATTCCCACTGTCTGGGAGGCCACAAATTGACATAGCAATGAAGCTCTTAAAATCTACTAGTAGCAGACATCTGATGAAAGCTTATTGTGTGCCACCAACTGATCATTTAGTCTATTATTTTGTCTTCACAACATTCTCATGAAGGTAGGTGCCATTATTATCTCTCATGTTCACTTGGAGAAATAGAATCTGAGAGGTTAAGAGATTTGCCTGCAGTCGGCTAGTAGGTGATGGAGAAGTGCTCACAGCCATGCCACTATTCTTGCCAAGTTGTCCAAAACCAGGGAACATTGACCTCTCTAATCCCAAATCCCTTTTTATTTATTTTTTATAAAGATTTTATTTATTTATTGCAAATCTCTTTTTAATACTGAAGGAGTTTGAGAGTTAGGGGATCCTCCTGCTCTTAATATCCAAAGAAAAAAATATTTATCTGATCCCCAAATTCAAAGTATTACGATGGTCTTCATATTCCTGGTAGCCTAGAAAATACTTACATATATCACCTTAGTATTTGAATTGCCCTTTAAAATACTTCGACTCTGTGTCTGTATCTGTACATCTATCTATGGGGACAGGTCATTCCTCATTCCACCTCCCTTCTGGCTATTGTTCTTAGCATAGACTGAAATTTCCCTTGGCAAGCCACCCATGGCCTTATAAGTAGTAAGTGAACAGTTGGTTCCCTTTCTTTATTTCACTTGATATTCCTGCAATAGGAGAATTTAGTCCTTATTTTAATTTTTATTTCCATCTTTATATGTCTTCCTTCTTCACAGGTTTATCATACAGAAAGAAGTTGAAACAAACAATGGTACAATACTGTTAAATATAAGGCTTATTGGGATTTGGGGGAAGCTTGAAGAAAATGAGAAGGTATATGTGAAAAGTTGAAGAAATATGTTATTAATTGTGGAGATACATGGTTTTTTTCCTTGTGAAAAGAAAAGGTTCCTGGCAGTTATTTCTTTTTTCCAAGTGTAGTTCTTGACCTGGATACATGCTCTTCCTTTCAGAAGGCAATGGTGTAGACTTATGGCCTAGTGCGTCTTTTGTTTACTGGGCCAAGAATGTCCAAACAATAGGAGTAATCTCTGGTGTTTTCTAGGTATTTACCTTGCTGTGGATTGCTGACTGGATGGTCCATCACTTCTGGAGAAAAGGAAAGGACCCAGATAGCTTCTCTATCCCCTATCTAACAGCATTGGGTGACCTGCTTGGGACAGCTTTGTTAGCCTTAAGTTTTCATTTTCTTTGGCTTATTGGAGATCGAGATGGAGACGTTGGAGACTAATAAATCCTACAAACTGTTCTCAAGTTCCAAGGAGGAAAACACAAGACAACTACTTATGACTCTTTTAAAAATCTTAAATCAGTAGTTTAACTTCTACCAGGGTAATCTTCAGTTGGCCCTGATTCAATTAAATGGCCTTAACATTTTTTTAAGGAATTTGTGTTAAAACCAGAATGAACAGTATTTGTGTTGCTTTTCATAGAATAAATGGTAATTTGACATAGACGTAGACACAAGCTTAAGCTCTGAAATTAATTAAATAGGAAAGAATACAGGATGTTTACAGTGAATAATTTAAAAACCACTGATGTAGCAGAGATGTGCTTTATTATTGTTTAACTTATAAAGCCAGGTTTGAGGAAACAGAGTTTTAGCCTGTCTTGTCTCACAGATGTGTTGTACTGCAAATCCTACTATAAAATGAAAGGGACCCAAACCAAGCCTCTAATAGTTTTAACTATTAGTTTTTAACTAATAGTTTTAACATAGCAGGCATGTGTGTCAAGTTTTTTAACTTTATTTTTTGCCTAACAAAGCCAAACTCCATTCCCGAACACTTTTCCTCTGTGGCTCTGAAGAAAGCCCCAACACAATGCCCGGCCTCCTCTCTTGGCCCGGGCCAGGTTGGTCCCTCCTGCCCAAGCCCAGAAGTTACAGCACCTCTCAGGGGCAGGGGAGAGGCGGAGTGGGGAAGGGGGCTTCCTCATGTTTTCTTTCAAACAAAAAACACAATCTTATTTTTCTCTAGAAAAGCAAAAAAAGGAAACCAAAAAAGATACCAACCTTTGAACTATTAAAAAAAAAAATCATGGCTGGCACCCCTCTCTGCTAGCTGAGGGTAAGTGATCAGTTACTAGCTCCCAGCCTGACCAAATATGTTCTGCTGAGCATGAGATAAACTCACTTTCCTCTGTGCCAATGCTAATTTAATTTTAGTTCTGTAAGATCTTGGCAGGCTACCCTTTAAATACAGAATGACCTCAAGAGATCTTTAAAAGCAGTGGGTCATTTTGATCATTGATATGCTGAAAGAATTTTGATCTAAGAAGACTGAATAGTTAAAACCAGAAGATAAGCTGAGCTGCATTTGTAGGGACAAGGTGTGAGAAATTGTGTGTGTGTGTGTGTGTGTGTGTGTGTGAGAGAGAGAGAGAGAGAGAGAGAGAGAGAGAGAGACAAAGAAGCAGCAAAGAGAAATGTTTGAAGGAGAGCTGAATCTTGGATCATTGATAGCAAAGATCATAGTGCTATTGAAATTTTAGCATTATGTAATTATCCTTAAACACATTTTATTGATATGCTTTTGTCATTTGGTCCACAAATTTTGCTACTCTCCATGATTTACTATTTATTACCTATATTATAATGATTAGATTTTCCTATTTAAAAACTACCATTTAATATAACCATGGTTATCTTCTAAAATTTTGAATAAGTAAGTGATTCATTTGCTCTTCTAAAGAAGTATGTTGCATCTTTTAGGCTTACTGTTTTAAAAGAGAGGTTGGTGGGTTATTTCAATTATTGACCATGCCTGTCCATACCACCTATCTGCACAGGCTTATTTCTACATGGGACTCTATCACATAAGTGATATGCTATGTTTCCTATATATTTTTCTAAAACTCTGACCTATATTCTAAAATTTGACCAACACTTTACTTATTCAATAGTAAGCATTTTTATATCACGTACAGTTCATTTAAAAAATACAGTAGAACCTCTCAAGATCATCAGATACCTAATAGTTGAACTGGTAAAGGGAAAATATTCATTAACATTGATTTTTATGGTTTAAGTTGTGAGTTAGTGTTAACATTATGTAAATAGTACATTGTTTATATAAACATGTTAGAGGAAGTATTCCTATTACACTCTTTAAAATGAGACTGTGGTGTAGAGTTATATATTTTTGCTTATTTTGAAACTTTAATTATTCCACTCTTCTGCCTTATAATGAATCTTCCAAGGTAGAGAACTGAACTAATTATAGACTTTCTCCTTTGGAGAGTTATAATGTCAAATAGTGAACATTCTCTTAAAAGAAAGAACAACTAAGTCAATGAATATTTAGTTGCAAAGATTTTTTAATTTAAAAAATCCATAAAGAATCTCTGATTTTATCGTAAAGCATTTGTAAATTACTTACTTACATTTGGGCTGTATGATTCATAAGCATTTCTATTTGCCGATAGATTTTTATCTGGATTTTTTTTAAGATTTTATTTATTTTCATGAGAGACACAGAGAGAGAGGCAGAGACGTAGGCAGAGGGAGAAGCAGGCTCCATGCGAGGAGCCCATTATGGGACTCGATCCTGAATCCCAGGATCATGCCCTGACCAAAGGCAGACGCTCAACCGGTAAGCCACCCAGGCGTCCCTTATCTGGATTTATAACATAAAAAAGTACCCAGCAAATTACATTTTTAAAGCATTTACCATAATCTTTAGTGTATTACATATTCTGAAACACACTCAAATACACACCATCACATAGTACAACGTACCTGTGAAATAAATCAGGTAGATATTCTTATCTGTATTTTTCAGCGTAAGAAACTGAAAAGCAGAGAAGTTACCCTTTTAACATTGCCTGGGTGCATAGTGCCCAAATCGTGACTAAAATCTGGGTCTCTGGTCTCCTGAGCCAGTTACTCTTTCTATGACCCCCGAGTGTATCAAGAGTACTTAACTAATGAACTGACAGGAAATAGGCTAGAGCATCAGAATTTTCTAAAGTAAAAGAATAGAATAATACTACATCTTTTAGGTCAGACAGGGAAGCCTCCACCATCTATCTCAATGGTAAGTGTAGCCAATTCTAAATTATTCATGTGCTTAAGACCAAGGAAAACAGATAAATGAAGACTTCAGAATAAAGAATAATGCCTGATTTCATTGAACATTTAGCATCCACCACCTTCCCAGATTTAACATCATCTGTAGATGCTAATAAGTAACTAACATGGCTGATTCGAGTTCTTTCTCCTTTCTGTTTTGGTACCTGATCTTGGTTACAGCAACAAAATGTCTAAAAGGCATGTCATAGGGAAAAATAAAGACATGGAAAAATCAGTTACTAATTAGCTCAATTTGCTTATAAAAGGGAAGTAGATTCCTTAAACATTTTTTACTGGTTTTTTGAAAGCCTTTACATAAGTATGCAGCTAATAAGATGATTTATTTACCCACGAAATAATTTATTATCAGTCATATGTAAATTGACAGTATTTATTTTTATACAATATAAAAATTCCTCTCCAAACTTCTTCCTTTCACTAATTTATCAGACACTTTATTTATATAGAGATCATCTTTTTAAAAACATATTTTTATTCTTGCTCACTAATCATTTTTTTTTCCTTTAAAGTATAAAGTTTAGAAGTTAATAAAATGGAAACTTATGGTAATGTCTCTTCTGGGAGACATCAAAAGTTCCACATCATACACTATCGGTGATATAGCCAAATGAAGTACATTTTATGAAGTCTTTCCGTAATTGGGCTTCCTTGCCTTATAATGTATCTGTGGTATAGTATACCCATTTATGATGGGCATCTGCTATCTTTGAATTGTTGTAAAGTCAAATAAGAATAAAATGTAAGAAATATGACCCAGCCTTGTTGTACTTCTTGGTAAACCAGGTAAACATCAAGCCCATGTGGAACTCACCTAGAAGAGACTGAAGTGACCTGTATATTTGTTGGATTGATGAGTGTGATAAACGAGGCTCTGACCACACCGTGACCTCCAAACCATTGCTTTACCACTTTATCACTGTTGAGCACTCTTCTCATTTTCCGCTTAGATTCCTAGGTCCATCTGTCCACACATCCTCTCGCCTCCTCCATACTCACTGGCGGGCTCTGGGTAAGCCCAGCCCTCTGCCTCTGCTTCGCCTGCACTTGAGCAGCTAACTATGGCTCAAGAAGGACACATGACTGCTTGGACAGATCTTTAGCATCAAGTTAGCCCCCAGTACCCAGCAGCTGCTATTTCTCTAATCACTTCACTCTCTGGAGATCAGGCTTTTGTCTCTAACTCTGTACTGAAGGTATACCTGTCAAGGTCGCCAAGAGTCTCCCTGTTGCCAAATCCAGTGAGCAGTTGTCAGTAAGAATTCTTTTTTTTTTTAATTAAAGATTTTTTATTTATTCATTCATGAGAGACACACAGAGAGAGAGAGGCAGAGACACAGGCAGAGGGAGAAGCAGGCTCCATGCAGGGAGTGCGACATGGGACTCGATCCCGGGTCTCCAGGATCACGACCTGGGCCGAAGGGCGCTAAACTGCTGAGCCACCCAGGCTGCCCAAGAATTCTCATTTTATTCACTCTCTAAAAGTATTTGAAGGTCTCCTTCTTCCTTGAAATGCTTTCTTCACTTAGCTTCCAAAAACTCTGCCTTTTGCTTTCCTTTTCTACATCCCTGAAAGCCCCTTTCTTTTTGCTGGATCGAGCTCCTCAATCTCCACATTTTGGGATGGCCTACAGTTCAGTTTTGATGATCTCTTCTTTAGATGGACACACCCACCTCACTGTTTCAAATGCCATCTATTTGATTATTCCCAAAGGTATCCCTCCAGCCCAAGGCTCTCACCTGACTTCCAGACCCGTATGTCCACATGGCTGCTGGACAGCTCCACTCCAGCCACTGTGAGGAATCTCAAACATTTGAACAACACTGCCAACCACTTAACCCAACTGACACATATAGACCACTATATCAAACAACCACAGAATACATGTGAAGGGTTAATCTCCTTAATATGTAAAGAACATCTATAAGCCAGGAAGAAAGAGACCAACACCCAATAGTAAAATAGCGAAAGATAATTCACAAAAAACCCCAAATAGATGCTCAGTACCAAACTAAAAGGAATGCTAATTAAAATCACACTGAGGGGGTGCCTGGGTGGCTCAGTTGGTTGAGCTCTTGATTTCTGCTCAGGTCATGGTCTCAGGGTCGTGGGATGGAGTTCTGCATCGGGTTCCATGTTCAGTGGGGAGTCTACTTGAGGATTCTCTCCCTCTCTCTCTGTCCCTCCTCCTGCTCTTTTTCTCTCTAAAGTATTTGATCTTTTTTAAAAAATTACACTGAGATGCCATTTCTTACCTATCAAATTGACAAAAATTCAAGATCTAATAAAACATTCTCTTGGCAAGGTTATAGGGGAACATTTACCATGAGAAATTGATAACAGCTCCATAGAGGGGAATCTGGCCCATATCTAACTAAATTCTAGGCACACACATCATTTGACCCAGTAGTCCCACTATTACTACCCTCATTAGACCCAGGCAAGTGAAGCCCCTGCCCTGGGCCCTCTGCCACATGCAGTGTTTCGGAAACTATGGCCAGGAGGCCACATCTAAGTCACTGCCTATTTTTATAGATAAAGTTTTATTAGAATGCAGCCATGCCCAGTTGTTCACATACTGTGTCTGGCTGCTTTCCCTCTCCAGCAGTAGAACTGAGTAGCTATAAAAGAGACCAGATAGCCTGCAAAAACCTATTTACTCTTTGACCTTTTTTACACAAAATAATTGACCCACCCTGCTTTAGAGTGAATTCCTCAAATTTTATTTCTGTCTCAGGTACCTGGGTCTACCCAGGATCATCCGTGTCATCTGGGCGGTGTGCTTCAATCTGAACTAGTCCTACACAGGCCCTAGTTGCCAGAAGCACCTCACAGCTTTCTAAATCACTGCCCAATGCCTGGGACCAGCCAGGGATGAGAATGGACCCCCATTTCTGTTTTTTCTGTTCAGGAAGAGCTCCTTGTATGGGTCAACTAGATGCCCCCAGGAAGTCAGAATCTGCCTATAGGGTAGTCCCCAAGGCTCTAGGACTGGCCCCAGCTCCAAGAAGGCAACTTGGGGGGGAGGGGTTGGTCAATCACTCTCACTGGCCAGAACGACAATGGGCTGCAGGAATGATGCTGACATTGATTTGGAGCAACTCTCACATCAGACACAGGACAAGTTCAGAGCCTAGACCACTGACAATCGACTCACAGCCAACCCTTGGACTTGAGCCTCAGCATTCCCTCTTTTGTCAGCATTCTGACTATGGCATCACCTCTGGTCTAGAGCCCTGAAGTGTGACAGGGTAATGGCAGGCATCCTTCACCCTGTGTGCCCTACCACTTGCACCCAGGAAAGTCTCCTCAACCTCTTGCAGGTTCTGTGCCACTTGCCAAGCAGTCCTCTGGGGGTGACTGCTCCTTTCTCCTCTGATTATTTTCAAGACCACTGCCCCACAATGTACCTTTCAACTGATGTCCTGTCTTAGCTCCAGTTGATTTGATGATGCCATACTCTCCCAGGTCAATCTTAAATTGTACTGGATAAGGAAGAGCCATTCATCATGTGGATGGTACCATTCTTCTCAACCTGCTTCCAGACCCTCCCCCAGCCTCCCCACTGGTGACAGCGTGGGGGAGGCAGGATGACACTTGTTAATGATGGTAAGGAAAACCTTATTCAGGGCCATCGTGATAGGTACAGGGACCACTGCAATGAGATGTTGCAGTGGGGGAGAGAGATGGGGCTCCATGCTGAGTACAGCATGGGCAAGTGGTATCTGTAGCTAAGGAGCAGGGTGGAGGTCAGTGAATGGAAAAACACTGAGAGGAAACATCACAGGTGAGGGGGATTCTGCTTCAGTGGACCTAACACGACTCTTGCTGAAGGCAGGCCAAGGTGAGCAGACATCACCAGGGGGTGGGTGGAGGATGAGGGTGAGGTTTGATCAGACATCAAAGGTGGGGAGTTCTGGTTAAGCTAATTTAGCAGGGTTCTTGCTGAAACCAGACTTTATAAGGAAGTTAACAGATGGGCCTAAGAGAAGTTTCAGGAACCTTACTAGAGTTCGAATCTTTGGGTGCTGTAAACAGCATCAAATGGTATCAGGGGACTGCAGAGGCCACAAAAGCTGTATAGGTGCACCTCAGAACCCTACAGGCTCAGTTCAGGACCACAGCAATAAAGCAGATATTGCAATAAAGCGAGTCAAATGAGTTTTTTAAAAATCTCCTAGTGGGATCCCTGTGTGGCTTAGCGGTTTAGTGCCTGCCTTCAGCCCAGGGTGTGATCCTGGGGTCCCAGGATCGAGTCCCATATTGGGCTCCCTGCATGGAGCCTGCTTCTCCCACTGCCTGTGTCTCTGCTCTCTCTCTCTCCTCTCTCTCTCTCTGTCTTTCATGAATAAATAAATAAAAATCTTTAAAAAATAAAAATAAATAAAAAAGAAATAAAAATCTCCTAGTCAGCATTCTGACTATGGCATCACCTCTGGTCTAGAGCCCTGAAGTGTGAAATCTATGGAAGTTATGTTTACACTATACTATATTCTATTAAGTCTGCAATGGCATTATGTCCTAAAAAGGAACAATATATAGGGGCACCTGGGTGGCTCAGTCAGTTAAGTGGACAACTCTTGGTTTCAGCTCTGGTCATGATCTCATGGGTCATGAGATCAAGCCCTGCATTGGGCTCCATGCTGGGCATGGGATCTGCTTGTCCCTCTCCCTCTACTCCTCCCCCTACTCTTTTGCTCTCTCAAATAAAGAGATAAATCCTTTAAAAAAAACCACAATGTATATACCTTAATTTAAAAATACTTTATATTGCCAAAAAAGATAACCAACATCTGAGCTTTAAGCAAACTTTAATCTTTTTTTTGCTGGTGGAGGATCGTGCCTCGACATTGATGGCTACTGACTGAGCAGGATGCTGGCAGCTGAAGGTGGGGGTGGCTGTGGTGATTTCTTAAAATAAGACAATGATGTTTGTCACACTGATTTACCCTTCCATTCACAAATGACTTCTCTGTAGCATGTGATGCTGTTTGACAGCATTTTACCCACAGTAGGACTTCTTTCAAAATTGGAGTCAATCCTCTCAAACTTGCCTCTGCTTCAACTAAGTTTCTGTAATTTTCCCAATCCTTTGTTGTCATTTCAATGGTCTACAACATCTTCACCAGGAGTACATTGCATCTCAAGCAACCACTTTCTTTGCTTGTCCACAAGAAGCAAGTCCTCATCCATCTATTAAAAGCAAGTCCTGGGGATCCCTGGGTGGCGCAGCAGTTTGGTGACTGCCTTTGGCCCAGGGCGTGATCCTGGGGACCCGGGATCGAGTCCCACATCGGGCTCCCGGTGCGTGGAGCCTGCTTCTCCCTCTGCCTGTGTGTCTCTGCCTCTCTCTCTCTGTGTGTGTGACTATCATAAATAAATAAAAAAATAAAAATTAAAAATAAATAAATAAAAAAGCAAAAAAAAAATAAAAATAAAAAAAATAAAAATAAAAGCAAGTCCTCACCCATTATCATGAGACTGAAGCAATTGAGATATGATAATTGAAAAGTTTGAAATGTGACACAAAGGCAGGAAGTGAGTGAATGCTGTGGGAAAAATGGTGCCAGTAGACTTACTCAATGCAGGGTTACCACAGACCTTCAATTTGTAGAAAGCACAGTATCTGGGAGGCACAAAAAAATGAAGCGCACACTAAAGGAATGCCTGTAAATGGATTCAGTCTACATTTTGGTTAAATTAACTTGTATTCCAGGAATGACTCTGAGCCCAGGGTTGGGCAGATAGTAAAGT